TCACCACAACGGTGTGGAGCTAGTGTAAATACAGTACTCTCATTGATTAGAATCGGTGTGTATTTGCTGTGGAGGTCGGACCGGAGCGGAGACACATGCAGTGTAAATTGGGTGTCAGTCCCTTACACAGTCTTGTCTTTAAAAAAGTCACAGTTTTAGTCTGTTCTGTATTAAACAAAGCCAGTTGCAGGAAGGTGAATCAGAGCTACTCTGTGACTAAATTGAAGCCTAAATTAATCCTTCAAAGAGGCCGTCTTAGCTTCTGCTTAGTATTGTTTGTGAAAGGGAGCACAGTTTGGCAGCATGGAATATTTAGAATATGCATATAAATCATCATCATTTTATTATTGCCCCTTAGGGAAATATTCCTTGCAGCAAGGTGGACAGAAAATAGAAAGACAAACACGGAACAATCACACAACAACATTTACAAAACAGTAAAACTGTTAGCTTCTCTCCWCTGGCTCCCTGTCWAATTCAGAATARAATTAAATTTTCTTCCCTATCTTCCCTGCTTTGCTGCTCGGAGCCTTCTCTACGTTTTCATCCGAAACCAGAAATTATGGAATTATTTTGTTTTTATGGATTTGGTTAGCTGGTCTCTTAATAAAATTTTGGAACAAAGTTTTCTTTCTATGCGAGGACATGTTAGAGGTGGGACCTCAGTTCTTCTCTGCTGTGGATATTTGGATTCTGATCACTGGATTCTACAGATTGACTCGGTAGTCTTCCGGTGTTTCTACAAAACAGCGTCAGTGGCTTTTCATTTCCTGGTTGCCTGACCATTATGACGGATGGCCGTAATATCAGCACTCAGACTTTTGCCTTGAGCGAGCYGGACTCTGTCTGCAAGCGGTTCTGTTGAGGGTCATGGGCCGGCTATGGTTCCTGGACTTTGCTGGCCAGATGGAATTGATCTTGGAGAAAGCTGATAGATTGGCTCGGCGGAATTTGTCCACATTATTTGTCTGATTGGACTCACCAACTTGGATGTACCAGCAGACATTAAAGCAGGTGGAAAATTGTTATTGTCTGCCTGGCTCTTCTGTTCCCAAAACAACTGATTACAGAATCTGGCTCCCCTACATGGCCTTGAGCTGTTGGACTAAATTCTTCATGGTTGGATTACGTTGACAAGGCTCTGCCCCCACCCCCCCACCCACCCATCGGCAATCTGGGTCCTGCAGCAGGCTGAAGCCGCACAGAAAGAACAGTTACCATCAATATTCTGAATATGGCTCTGCTGGTTTTTGGGGACTTGATTCTTCGGGCTCATTTTTCAGATATTCACACGAGTGCATACAACAATCTTGGCTTCAGATACAAACACACTCCTAAACTCGCTTACTCCTCTGGCTGATAAATGTGCTCCATGCAGAGGTTTTTTTTATTATAAACACCATATAGTGTGTCACAGTGTTGATATAATATGATGTTTTGGTTTTATTCCGTCATCTTCCCTTGTGTGGTTTTTAGTTTTTCTGTTAAGGGTTGCGCCTCCTCATGAYGTCTTCATAATGATGATCCTTTCTCTGTGCAGGGTCAGTGGCTGCATGACCCAGAGCACCTGTTCTCCTATGTTTATGTTCTGTCTTCTTCTGAATGGCTGTTCTGAACTGTAACAGTACACTGGCGGCTGGGGTACTGTTTTGCAAGCTGAGGCATTGCAATGTATTTGTTTCAAAAGAGTAAAGTACTTCACACTTGACACCCTAAAATGATCATGACTTTTTTCCTAAGTGTTTATTTTTATTTTTTGAATTACTTGAAGTTAGTATAATCTAATTTTTCAATAGTTATAATTTCTCTTTGTAATTTGGTTATAATTGTGTTACAGTCAATTGTAAATTATATATATATAAATAATTCTATATGTGAATGTACTTATATGGTGCTGATATTCTGTAACACTGTTCACTTTTCCATAGTATTTGTTCATTCCTGTTGTTTGGAGTAAGTACAACCTTATTTTCTTATATTTAATATGAATACTAAACATATACTACAAATACAATAATATTTCTTATACCAATTATGTTGCTTTTTATTTTACAGAACAAAATCAAACAGATACGTATAAAGGAACTTGTAACTGAAGTGGAAAAACAAATAAGAAGTGGCTTGCCCTACGATGACAACATCTCAAAACAAAATGGATTTTGGGTAAAAGTGTGCACTGCACTTCACATACCTAATAATCCAAACTGTCGGTACAGAATTCAAAWTTTTACATACTATATAAGGTCAGTATAGAGTACGTAAAATAGTAGCTGACATCCCATTTTTTACATAAAAACAGCGCACTTTTAAAATACAGTATCTTACTGAGACAATCACAATCACAATGGACAGTGGAGTAAGAGCACACAACTAATCTTTACTTAGCTTCAATCTAGCAATTTGTCTAACTTATTTATTAAAATTACTATGTATCTTTTTAATTTTTTCATAGTCCAAAATATTTCATTACTACTTCACTTCATTTATTAACGTTAACATGTCCAAATTATTCTGAGTGGTTGATAAAAAAACACATACAGTAATGCTTGTATTGCAAATGATTAGAAATACTTTGCGATTTTACACATCCCTCCAAACRTCAAGTAATTCTTGTTTTCTCTTTCAAGCCACAACATACAGTATAACCAGCTCCCCAACTACAGAGTTATGTCTTGAAGATGATGGTGTGCAGGAAGACATGTCTGCTGAAACTGTATGTTCTGTAATAATTTCACTCTTCAGTGTTCCCTCCAAAACATCTAACATAAATATGTTTCTGTTTTTTATTTGTTTTGTCTTTTATTCCCAGGAAAACACAGATGTATACTTCATCTTCTTTCGGAAGTCCAGAAGGAAATGTTGATACATTGAGCATGGATCAAAGTTCAACTGAACAAGTGGGTAGTATTTGAAAAGATAACTTGTAAAATATTAGCTGTGTTCATTCACTTCAGTGTGTATCGAGGACTAGGAACTAACACAGTATTAAGACTTGAATGTTAAAGGTGAGAAATAATACCAWATGATACCGCAAGTGTACCAGAATTACTCAGTCTTTATTCAAGTCAATAACTTTTGGCCCCAAACCAGGAAATACTAATCCATATCACCGTATCCTTACAGTTTTATCACTCCCACCAAACATTAAAGTGGAACACCCCCCCCCCCGCAAATTTGACAAATGCACAAAGTGGAGACTCTGAGGGGGGTGAGCGAGGAGGTGTGGCCAGGAGGAGAGAAAGTTTTTAAGACGAGACAACGTGACAGCTAGCTTTAGCTTACTTTGACAAGCTAACATTCCTGAAAACATTTCTGAATGTTCTAAATAAATGACTTTGTAAAAAGTAAAGTTTCATGATATACATGCAAACTCACATTTAGCTGATACAACATGTAATCATGTAAAGTTCAGGCAAAAAAAAAAAAAACTTAAAATATGACTTTGGTCCAAAACAGAACAGAAGGAATATCTTTTCATTCCTGTTTGGTTCACTGTTTCTATTAAAATACACAATAC